GGAAAATCTTGAGACTTCCATCACGGAAAAGGAAACTGATTTAAGTGCAATAAGGAGGCACATGTCTGTATTAGAGGTAAAAATGGATAAAAATATCAAAGAAAGTATAGCTAGGATTGATTCTCAACACACTACATATGAAAACACTATCAATAGGTTAGAAACTGAAATTACTCATCTTATTAATATGCAAAGAAAATCAGATGAGAATGTAGTTAAACTTACTAGAACTATTGAAGAACATATGAGAAAAACTCCTTCACCAGAAATTATTTTACCTCATACAGCATTACAAGCTTCCACTATGAATAATCAGCAACAATTGGCCACGGCATTAAGTGACACTACCAATAGTCCAAATAATAATCAACCAGAGAGTCAACCAAGTGCCAATAACAGAATAACTCAATCAGTAACCACCGACAGAGATACAACTACCAATGTAGAAAATAATACTGAAGATAAATCTCTTGCTAAGTTAATTCTTTCAAGCCTACCTGAGCCAGGAGATTGGCCAACATTCTCAGGAAGTGGAGAATATGACCATTTTAAATTCATGGATTGGATTGATAATCTGAAAGAAGATACTTCAGCACCAGATGAATTAATCTGTTCTAGATTAACTTCTATATTAACAGGAGTAGCTAACACGTGGTATACTAATAGAAAGAAAGAAGTTGGAATTGGAAAATCATGGGACTTTTGGAAAGAAGAAATCATCAAAAAATTCAGTACTCCAGAATGGAAAAGGAAAGTAAAAATTGCCTTCAGAAGGGATAAATTTGATGTCACAGGAGATAAAGAACCTTGTGAATGGGTAACTACTCAAGTTAATAGATTGAGAGCCATAGAAAGGGATATTTCCATAGAAGACATAAATGATAAACTACTTTCTTTATTAGACCATAAGACTGAATACAAGATGAGACAAGCCTTAAAATTATCAGATGACATTACACTCTTTATTACACAATTAGAAAGTATTGTAAGTGTGAAAAGAAAAAATAACAAATCTAAGAGTAAGAATTTTAAGAAAGATTTTGAGAAGAAAAGGACTTTGGAGAAACCTGAAGAAAACAAAGAGAAAAACAAAGAACTTACTTGTTATGAATGTGGTAAGAAAGGACATAAATCCACTAAGTGCCCACAAAAAGATAAAACCAATAAGAAAATTTCTGTCATGATTCATGAGGACAATCAAGCAGACTTTTCCAACTCAGATCAATCAGAAACTGAATCCTTACCTGAAGACACTTCTGAAGATGATAGCTCATAAGACAATAATAGAAGTTAACTATAGGATTGATCATAATAATGCTATCCTTTGTGTAAATAGATTACATATAACAGAAAGAATAAAAGAATTCCAGGATGAAGAAAGATAAAAGTTGTAATTCTAATAAAAATTATCCACCAGTGTGGAAATTCTTCAAAATTAAATTCAGACCAAATGATTTTATCAGCTCCCTCAAAGAACCCTGGCTAGCATCATTCAAAGTAAACAGATTAGCACTGTATGATAAATTGAAGAACCCACAGAAGATGGTGTAAAATCAACATAGAAAAATTAGAATCTAATGCTCTAGACAATTCGAATTTTCTGAAACCATTAGTGAAGCAAAAATTAACACAGAACTGGACAATACTCCACAAGAGCAACCTTTCAAATTATTATATAAAAAGAGATTAACTTTTGCTACAACAGAAGAACCTTTTGTACGTATTAAAAGACATGAAGTACACACTTATTTAGAAAAAATACCTGACTCAGATAGACTCCTCAGACAATACAGAGTAGACAAGATAAAATGATTTGAGGATCATTTCCTTTTTTAGGGGGAGTCACTAGGATTTCACAGAAATATCATTAGAATAAAGTATTAAACAATGTTTATTCTTATACATTATGTACATATTTTATAAGCCATAAATAATTACATATGTATAAAGAATCAGCTAGTAGAAGCGTGAAATGGATGAGGAATAAGCTATATACATTTATCTGAAGCTTACCCATCCTTGATCACATCATCAGGGCATCAGATTGCATCATAACCCTCTTGGATGGCGTCATCAGGACCCTTTTGTGCTCTAATTCAAAGCTTGCATAATTCAAAGCAGCCTACACGGGAAAGGAGCTTAAATTCTACATGCAAGATTGAATTATGCATGATGGACATGCATTTCTCATGATCACAAACTTGCATAAGCAGAGTTACACGTATGCAACCAACTCTACAATTGCACAGCCCCTGCACAGTAACTGTAGCCTTTTCAATTACGTGAGAAATAGGCCACAAAACTCAATTATGCATGTATGATCTCATGTCCTAGGACCTTCCACCCATGCATAGCACTGCACAGCTGCAGCTCCCATCCTTACACGAAATTGTAGAGCTGCTAAGAAGCTCCCTAGTGCCCTGAGGGCCTCTCCTCTTCCCCTGAGCCCCCTGTAGAATATTTAAGGAGCTCAGATTCCTACCTTTTCCCCCCAGGAAATTCTAGTAGCATCAAACCAACACTTGTACCGTGTTTATTAGTGATTCAAACCACCAATAACCTTACAAACCAGCTACCTTAGACCTAAATAGATTTACTTTGCTCAGATTCAAGGCATTTCTACTTATCTCTATTGCATAAAGAATTATCCCCCTGGTTAAACAATTCTGGTCCTTAAGTGTACATATCATCTGGATTGTTGTTAAAAGACTTAATCCCAAGTGAGTAGAAGAATTCCTCACCTTGGAAGCCTATTAATCCATGCAAGAGGATTGATCCGGATGCCCAATTGAATAATTGGATGAGTCAGCAGTAGAAGTACCATTCCTCACTGACTCCTCCCTGTTTCTTCTACAGGTTGAGGGATATAACCACGAATAAAACCTTCTCAATTCACTTGTTGTTAACACTCAGAGCACAACCCTTACAGGTTAGTAGCATAGAGGCTGACACCTCCAGCCTGGATAGCAGTGTTGACCAGCTTCTTCAAGTCCTGTCTAGAGTATTTGACCAAGGGTAAAGAGGATCCAAACCTGTTGAGTAATTGTTTCTTCAAGAGTTCCCAGTCTGAGTCCTCATGGCCAGTCATTTCTTCCACTTCATCCTTGAGGTCATTTCCATGGATAAAAGAGATAATCTGTCTAGCCAAATCTTGAGCAGAAGCATCATCAGCTAACCCAGCATTCTCATACCTCTTGATGAATTTTTCCACAGGCATTTTGGTTCCATCAAAGAAAAGTTCCTTATCCATGGGCTTGATTTTGACTGATCTGGTGTTGGTTCCTCTGTACCTGGGCAAGGCTGGTTCATTCTCCAAAAAGTGAGTGTCTGAATTTCTGGTGACTGGAAGGTTTGCTGGCTGGTTATTGTCTGATGCAAGGGGATTGTTCAAAGGGTTGGTGGATCCAGTGGAAGAGTGAGGTGAGTTGTCCCTGTACTGATTGAAAGCAGAGTTCTGACCAAGGTTGGGGAGCTGAGATTGACCATTGTTTCCAGTAGTGCCTTGAACAGGGTTGTTGGTGTTGAATGAAGTTCCAGAATTTCCTTGAGACATTGCTGATGGATGGATGAGAATCTGGCTGACTGGTCTGGTCTGGTTTGGTGATGGAAGTGGGGTGGATGAAGGTGATGGAGAAAGGTATGGAAGAGGGAAGATAGAGAACTTGAAGAAGGAAATTTGGAAGGTAGGGAAGACTAGGTATGTAGTATGATGGTCTGAAAAGAAGAAATTTCTGAGGAGTAGGCTGATTGAAGGGAAAAGATGGTTCTAGTACTGATGATATGTTTTTGTGATTTTTCTGGGTTTATGTAGAAATAGAAGGAGTAATTAATCTGACTGGAAATGGTGGTACTAAGGTGTGATAAGAAGTGAAGAGGGATGAGGAAAGTAGGGGGAAAGGTATGTAGGTAGTGATACTAAAAAAAGCTGATAGTAATAGTGTTACTAGGACTAAAATCTAAAGGAAGTCAGGCCACTGTTGGGACACCACTTGTGGAACTACTCAACCAGGGAGATAGAGCTTGGAGGGGATATAGACAACTACACTAGTACTAATGTAAGTTGAGACTACAGGTGCTGATGAGGCTGCCCTCCTGTACAATGCTAATGGGTAGAGTGTAACACTAAGAAAAAGAAGAATAGAGGTGTGGCTGATTTCTACTTTATCTTAGACTGCTATTACTGATGAGCTTGTGTATGTAGTACCTACAGAGGTGTGAGGAGGAGGAGAAATGAGGTGTGAGGGGATAATGCTGGCAAGGGTGTAACACTGGCAATGAGGAATGACACTGGCAAAGGGGAATAATCTGGCAAATGAGGATTTATAACTGGCAAGGGGGGATGTATAACTGGCAAATATAACTGGCAATGATATCTGGTAAGGATATAAGGGTGATACTAGTGTTTCTGATTTCTAAGACTATGGTTAGAAGATAATTCAGGCAAGGCACATAGAATAAGGGGGAAAATACATGAGGAGGAAGAAGGAGTATATAAGTGTACAACATGTACATACAACAGTAAAGCACCATGGCTGGGGAAATCCTGGCTATGGGTAATGTAAGTCTTGAACAGTAATAAGTGATGAGAAATAATGTAGCTAAGTGACAGATGTTCTGTGTATACAAGTGTTAATCAGGTATGGAAAGTCAAAGCAGTGTGAAAGGAAATATGTACATGATGTAATGTAGTTAAGGTTATCCTGATTGATGTATGTAATTATGGTTATGCTGAATATGTAGTGTAGTATGTAGTAATGGTGATGTACCATGATGAATGAGTGATTCTACATAGAGACTGTAACTATATAATGTGTAATGTATATGTACTGTATGTATAAAGTAATGTACTGTTCTGTAACTCTGAATATACTGAGGGGATGATAACTAGAGAACTACAAGAGATATTGAAAAGCTGTAAGAGGTGACTAGGGGTGAAATAATGTGTAGAATCTGAATATGAAATAATACTGGGAAGAATATATGTAGAAATGATGTGAAAAATGAGAATACATGGAAAGGTATGGACATACCACACCGGCCATGATGATGATGCCGAGATTTGGGAAGTCACGGTAAGTCGATTTGTTTTATTATTATTATTCATATTTTCTTATATTACAGGTAGGGTGGATAGAAACTAATGTCACATGATACATTTCCTTTGTTACAGGTTTTGCTGGTGTTGATATCATTGGGAGGCAGAAGTACGACCGTTAACCTGATGTCGACTCCGACCTCTTCAAATGCTGGGCCGATTGAACAACCTCAACCTAACATGTAAGTAGAGATTGGACTTGGTTGTGATATTTTTAATTAATAATAATCATCTTATTTTTAATTCATCGATTGACCGATGTGTTTCCTATCTCCTGAAATATGTATCAGGAGACCTATTGGGGCTCGCAAGACCCCTACTCCAGCCAGCAAAACAGCTCCGAAGAAGTTTTCAGTCAACGCGAGCCAAGAACCCCAACAAGCAAAACGGGCACCTTCCTTAGCGCCCCTGGAAATATTTCCAACACCCTCCACTTCAGCAACTGTCCTCTCCCCCAAGGAGAAAGACTGTGAAGAAAGTGAAGAAGGCGAAGTATCTGATGACGAGAACGACGACCATTTCAGTAACACGTACCCGCCAGGCAACAAAAACAATTAGAGGGGTCAAGCCTCTCAGGCAGGCTCCGGAGTCCTTGCCGAGGCACAGAAGAAACTCAAGGGCCGTGCTTAAGACCCTTGATAGAGGATCGAGATCGCTACTCATGCAACGATCAGTGGTAACGGATCACATGTACCTTTGACTATGTTTCTCATGTCTCCTTCATGTTCTACATTGGTCGATCATAAGAACTATATATCATGCAAACTAAGCGCTAACTCTCTGTACTAGATTGGTCTGTACTAAATTCATCATCAACTTAACTTGATGTATCCATTATATTTCATGTCTCCTGTGTGGATTCCTTTTCATGACTCATCCTCCTGTCAACGTCTGCAATTGAAATACAATCCTGCTGTCTGTCAACGTCTGCAATTGAAATATACATCAAACGTCTACGAGCACTTGATCAAGCTCTTGATTGGTTGTCCATCAAAGTAAAACGTCTACGAGCACTTGATCAAGCTCTTGATTGGTTGTCCATAAAAGTATGGGAGTTGATCACGGGATCTGCTCCATTGAGCACAATAGCTGACGTTTGGACAGATTGACCGATCTGGCATTTGAATCTGTTGGTCACTAGAACATCTGAGCCACAATATTTAAGTCATGATACTCAATCATTCCCTCAGGATACAATGCTAATGCTCGGATTCTGAAGCCGCAGGTCACGTTTCACTTGAATACTCAGGACAATGCCACTACCGCAAAGACAACGCTTTGGAGATGTTCATCGGCGGCTCCCAGCAAGCCGAAGATCCAGTGTCACATCTCAAACCTTGAGGCGCAGTATATCAGCAACTCCAATCCCAAGGAATGTTTCCACTACCCGAAACCAACCTCGCCGTCGACCTTGGGATTTAATGCCAGTGATTGGAATGGGGGCGGTATATCGTTCTGAGAATAACACAGAAGCTTACTTACTCGGTCGATTTCCGGGTTATTTTCCTTTTAATGTTGGATCTCTGAAAGACGCCTGTGACTCCTGCGGAGCTCTTCACTGGAAATTGGAGCGTACATTGAACGATTTGTCCAAAGACACCGCCAGTTACTCAACCTGCTGTGGAAAAGGCTCAGTCGAGATGCCTGTTAGATACGAAGAAGCCGATTATCCTTGGTTTATGCGAAAATTGCTAACCGACCTTGATCAAAGTGAGTCGGTTTTTGTTCTTGAAATAAGTATTCTTACTCAGTGGCCCATGCTGAGTAACAATGTCGTTGATTTCATTCTAGCTTCCCTCGAGTTTCAAAGGCAAATTTGCGCCTACAATAACTCGCTGTCCTTTGCTTCCTGTGGTGCTGAAATCAATCGATCTGTTCAAGGATATGCAGGAATATATACATTCAGGATCAGAGGCCCTCTGTATCATGACATCGGCAGTGTGTTCCCGCGTGGTAATGCTAGGCCAGCGTTCTCTCAAATTTACGTGGTAGGAGGCAACGATGCCCAGGAGGCTGAATATCGTGCAGAGCAAGCTAGGTCGCCAGTCAATGTTCAACTACTTTTGAGGCTTCAGCGGTTTTTATCCAGAAACAACAGCTACGCGTGATTATTTAGAATGATAGGACAGGACGATCCGGATCCCAATTCTCAGTACGTACTACAAAACTACAATCGACCCGGACTAAATCAAAATGTTTATAACGTGCCTCGGACGCTGGAAGTTGGAATGGTAATCGACAACGATGATCCTGATCAAATTGCCCCAAGGGATATTGTCCTGCGGCCCATTGAAGGGGGTCTCATGCACATTACAGACGACTTGAGTGGCTACTTGCCAATTCGCTATCCAATTTTTTTCCCATTTGGGGAGCAAGGGTGGGTTCGTGCGTGGCCAGGTGATGAAGAAACAGGTGAGATTCTGAAGTTGAGACTTCATGTGGTAATTATACTGATTTGTTGTTGTTGTTATTATTATTATGGTAATACTACTTGACAGAGACTGAGGAAAACATTTCGCAGCGTGAATGGTATGCCTGCATGATATTTGACCGACAAGACAAGTTCTCAGCAATACTATATGGAAAAAATCTCTTTCAAGAGTTATTAGTAGATATGTACTTCTGTGTTGAATGCTCGAGACTCAATTTCTTTCACTTTAATCAGGCGCAGATCAAGGCAGAGCTCTATCAAGGCATCAAAGAATCATTCAGGGATGATGTTGACGTTCAAGGAAGACGGATTATCCTTCCATCTTCCTTTTCTGGTTCCCCTAGGAATATGATGCAGCTGTACCAAGATTCGATGGCTCTGGTGCGGCATTTTGGCCAACCTTCTCTATTCATCACAATGACGGCCAACGCTCGCTGGCCTGAAGTTCTTGCGGCTTTGAAACCAAACGAAGAACCATGGGATCGGCCTGATCTGATTGTCCGGGTATTCCGAATGAAGCTCACCTCTCTCATCAAGGCCATCGTCAAGAAGAAGAGACTTGGCAGTGTGGCAGCTTGGGTTTATACCATTGAGTTCCAGAAGCGGGGCCTGCCACACGCCCACATAATGGTAATCTTGGAGCCAGGAAGCGTCCCGACAGCACCCGAAGCAATAGATTGCTTGGTTACTGCTGAGATTCCTGACCCAGAATCTGAGCCCCAGCTCTATTCCATTGTCACTTCTTGCATGCTTCACGGTCCATGCAATCCTAACAGTATGTGCTGGCAAGATGATGCCTGCAAGAAAGGTTTTCCGAAGCCGTTCCAATCGGAGACTTCTTTGGTCGACGACTCCTACCCAAGATATCGACGCAGAGACAATGGCCGACATGTATTCAAGAACAACCACGAGTTCCACAATGGCCATGTGGTTCCATACAACAAGTACCTCCTTTTACGGTACAAATGTCACATAAATTTTGAAATCCCCTACGGAATTCATGGCATGAAGTATCTGTTTAAATACATCTGTAAAGGTGTCGATCGGTCTTCAATGCGGATGACGGAAGGCGACGAAACCCTCAAATTTATCAATGGTCGATACATTGGTCCCTCCGAAGGTTGGTTTGATCTTAGAGTCACTGTATTGTCTTCTGTACAATATACATATACTGATCAATGTTGTGTACAACCATCCAGCCGTGTACAGGCTTCTGCGATTTCCTACAAACGAGCGAGAACCTGCAATTCAACGGTTAGCTATACACCTGGACGGTCAACACACCGTATACTTCACTGATCAAGAGGGACTGGAAAGACAGATGGAATCTGGCTCAGCAGCGCGCACCACGCTCACTGAATATTTCCGACTGAACCGCTTGAATGCTATTGGCTATGGGGTTCCAGCACGATCTTTGCTCTACCACGAGATTCCAAAGTATTTCCGATGGTCGAAGAAAAAACGATTCAAAGGACGCAAGCAAGCTTCCAACATGATTGGTCGCCTCTATCATGCCATGATCAATCAAGGCAAGCGCTACTTCTTGAGGCTTTTGCTTCTTCATAGAAAAGGGGCCACATGCCCTGAAGACCTCCGAACTGTGGGTACTCGGATTTTTGATACTTTCCGGGAGGCAGCCGATGAACTTGGATTATTAGTCAGAAATCGGCATTACTCTGAATCCATGGCCGATGCGGCACATTGGATGACAGGTAGCGGTCTTCGTTTCATGTTCTGTATGCTGTTACTTCACAGTCCGCCAGCAAATCCAAAGAAGTTACTCAATGATTTCTTAGAACATCTCTCAGATGATCTGATGTACCGACTGCAGCACAGATACGGCATTCAGAATCTTTCCATTGAAGATCGCAACTCTCTGTGCTACTTCCTGATTCACAATATTTTGACTGAACATGGAAAAAACTTCTCTGATGTCGGTTTGGAAGCAATCAGTTCCATCGATCACTTGTGGGACCTATTTGAATCTGACCTGAGTGACGATGACGACGTTGCTGTAGATCATGTGGATCGTTTCTTATCTATGTCTCAGTGTCTCAATGAACGGCAAACAATCATCATGGAAGCTCTGATTCAACTTATGGATATCGATGACTTGGGTCTTATATACATCGATGGCCCTGGAGGTTGCGGGAAAACATACTTGATGAACACAATAATTCATTATCTGAAGGCCAACGAGATCAAAGTTGTGACAGTAGCTTCCTCCGGAGTCGCAGGCTCATGCTATTTGAAGGCATGACAGCACACTCCCAATTCAAAAGACCTCTCGATCTGAACTCAACCTCTCAGTGCAGTTGGAAGACGCGAACTCCTTCGACTCAAGAACTCCAAGAGGCAAAGGTCATAATCTGGGACGAAATCTCAATGCAGAGCAAGTACGCAGTAGAGGCTGTTGATCGAGCTTTCAGAGACTTGATGCAAGACGATCGACCATTTGGGGGAAAAGTGATCATCTTTGGAGGCGATTTCCGACAAACGTTACCGGTTGTACCCGGAGGGACTATCTTTGATCAGGCAAATGTTTGTATGATCAACTCACCCATTTGGAACCATGTTTACACGTTCCAGCTTACTCAAAACCAGCGATTGCGAACCACCTCCAACCCTGAATCAGCTCAAACAAACATGGAGTTCTATCATTGGCTGTTGTCAATTGGTAATGGAAGTAATCAAACCGAGTTTTCTTCAGATGTTGAGCTGAAATATGGCAGCGTTTTCAAGCACCTGATCGCATCGGTTGTGACTAACATGGCGATTGAACAGGCTTATGGAGATCTGTCTAACATACTCAACAAAAACGACACTGACAGAATTTGCAACTTTTTCACGGACCGTCTAATCTTGGCTCCGCTCAATGCCGATGTGACCAAAATCAATGCCATATGTAGAGATCGTCTGCCCGGCCGAGCGTTAGTTTTGAATTCTGTGGACCAGATGATGAATGAGGCGGACGGCTTAGATAGCGATGAAGCGGTGCCTGAAGAGGTTCTGAACACGTTCTCATTGCCGGGTTTCCCTGAACACAAACTTGAATTGAAAGTCGGTATGCCTGTAATCCTATTGCGGAATCTCAACCTAAAGCGAGGCCTGTCCAACGGGACCCGGCTCTTGATTCTTGGGATAAGACGAAGTGCACTGCGATGCAAGATTCTCAGCGGTTTTCGGGTTGGCAAAGAAGTATTGATCCCTAAACTTAAACTTATTCATGAGGCCAATCACGTTTATGGGGTCTCCTTCTCAAGATACCAATTCCCCGTCGCAGCAGCTTTTGCATTGACCATCAACAAAGCTCAAGGTCAATCGTTATCGGTGGTTTCAGTTTACCTGCTGCAACCGGTTTTTGGTCATGGTCAACTTTACGTTGCTCTGTCCCAAGTAACCAACTTGAACGGGTTATCAATCTGCATGGTGGGTGATCCAGATCTTCCTTTGATCACTACAAACATCGTCAATCTTGATGTAATACGACGATGTCATGGAACTTCCGAGGTCAGTAGACTGTTCAACATGGATTTCATTGTATCAATTATTCTTGAAACATAATCGCTCATACTGTTCTTTCTTAGGTCTAGATCGGTTTCCAGTTTGGACTTCAGTTACCTGAAGAGTTCCCTTAGGTTTAGGGAAGTTTCCCATAGGTGCAGGGTTGGATATTTTCCCCACCCCCCAAGACTTCTTAACCACATTACTTTGCTCAATTACCCCATTGCAATTCACCGCTCCCTTCATTAACTCCCAACAAACGAAAACTGGTATCATGAGTTCTGTTTCTTTTAAACTTTTCATGTTTTATCTGCTGCGTGTGCTTAGAATGTGATCAAAATCAGAACCCGCTGTCCTAGCATTACAGATTCTATCTATCTAGAAATCATTTACTTAGAAGGCGATCGAATTCAGAACCAACTGTCATAGCATTACAGATTCTGTCTCTCTAGAAAAAATGTATGTATATACAAAGATGAATGTTATGAAACCGAGATCATGGATACGAATGCGAAATAGAAACTATTTACAACCCGAACTTCACATGTTCACATCATCATAGTCAGATTCCAATCATCCTATCCTATTCACCGATTATCCAAAGCTGAGTACATAATCAAAAGCTGTTCCAAGGATTCAGCCAAGAGCCTATATCAGGTTCAGGTCCGAGTTCCTAGGGAACCCCGCGGCGTTGTTATAATAGATAAGGGGGGTTATAATTATAAAACCTCAATACTAGGTAGCTAATAATATTGAAGAGTGACCAGTGATGTAGTGTTATGGGGGGGGCTGACTACAGAGCATCTGATGAGGAGGGAATACAACTGGCAGGCAGAGGCCTCCTTATATAGACAAAAGTTAGGGAATTTAGCTCCAGGGTACATGCAGGTGAGGGAATTTAGCTGGCCTGAATATCCAATGAGGGAATTTAGCTAGTCTAGTACATGCAGGTGAGGGAATTTAGCTAGTCTAGTACAGCCTTGAGGGATTTTGGCTGGCCTACAAGGTCCTGCTACAAAGGAATGCATGTGCACCAACAAAGGAATTCAATATGTAATATGAGCTAATAAAGGCATTCAATATGAAACAAAGGAACTCAATATCCAATATGCATCCAGTATTCAAATTGAGCTATAGTCAGAGTAAAGAATCCAAGAGATATCCTGTGATAGGTTGAAATAGGTGTAACTTCTGAACTAATAGAGATAAGGGGGTAGTTGTAGTGGGTGACTAGGGGTTATTTTACCTCAGGAATCAATTTTTGATGTTTATTTTACCTTATATCTGATGTAGAAAAAGATGAGAATAAATTTTTATATTTTTGGCGTAGAAACACAGGAACAACTACCACACCGCGCGGATACCCGCTAGCACCACCGGATACCCACAGGCGGATGTGAATGTCTGATTCCACTGACATTGTGAGCGGATATCCAGATGCTAAGCAACCATCTCTAAGTCAATCCTTGGAGCCAGCTGATCCAGCCCTGCCCCAGGGGTTTTGGCCCTGGTGGCCAGCTCTGGGAACCAGCTCAGGCAGCTCATTCACCTCCTAGGGCCCAGCTTGGCCAGCCAGCCAAAGGGGCCGGATTGTTCAGCCTCATTCAGCTCAGTAAGTATTGAGATGTCATTTCATTGAGTTTCACTTCACTTCAGTACATCTCAGTTCATTTCATTTTTGTATGCTACATACATGTCACATATGTTTCACAGATCTTGTAGTAGACCTGGGCCAGAAGAGAGCTCATGGAAGAATTATTTTCCTCATCCTTTCCATCTCTCTTTCTGACCCAGGTGAGTTTATTTCTCTTCTTTTGTTTTCTTCTCTTCATTTGTTATGTTTTTCCACTATGATTTCTTCTCTTCATTTGTTATGTTTTTTTGCTAATCCTTTCCATCATCTCTCTTTCTGACCCAGTTCATCCAATCAGTAAGCCCTGGTAGCCAGCTCTGACAGCTCTTTCAGTGCTACTGCAAAGGTTGTTTAATTTCCACCCCTGGAAAATAGCTGCATTGGCAGGGCATAATCAACTGCAGTTTCAATTTTTTTCCATAGCATGGATATTAGTTGGAAAAAGATCTCCTGTCCCAGCCATTTGGCGACTAGCCCTATCCAGTTGTGAGAGGGCCATTGTGAAGAGGCAATTTTTTTTGGTTATGGCAAAGGATGAACATGGTGAGGTTTCATATTCATGCTCTGGTACAGATGTTGTTTCTTTTGCATGCTGAGGGTGTTTTTTCTCCTGATCAGGGCTTGGGAAGGCTTGTGTTTTTGGTGTTTTTCCATTGCTTATCCTTCTTTTTTCTCTCCTCTTGTGCTATTGTTTTTTACATTGTTGTATTTCCTATTTTTAATTGTGTTGTTTTTATCATGGCTACAATACATTATTAATTAATCATACTTGAGCAAAGTATGCGCAATTTAATTCAAGTCATTGGCATCCATTCTCTTCATCCTGGGATCCTTTTCACATTGTTCTTTGAGAGAGAGAAAGGAAAACGAAAAAAGGGGGAGGGGTCTTCATATTACATTGAGATGGGAAGATTTACAACAAAAAGGGTTTCAAACAGTGGATGATTTAGCATTCCTGAGTTCTTCTCAACATTCATTACGAACCTGGTTAGCACCCTGGACCCCAGTCTCCTCGAAAGACCTCAGGGCAGGTTCCCATTGGCCCCAGAGCTGATCAGCCGCCACCCGTGTCTTGGTGGCCAGCAGACCTTTCAGGAAGGCAGACAAGCTGAATAACGCTGACCCCTGAGAGATGCAGACCGTCTTCAAACTTGTTGATGAGTGCAGTTTTGGAAGTTGTGGTCCGGGCCCAAGTGCTTGTCAAGGTTTCTGAGAGCTACTCTTCATCTTGTGTAGATACCATTAAAAAATAAAGAAATAGGTGTGACTGTGAGGAATAGAGGCCGTTGATGAATGATGATTGGATGGTGCTGATGTTGGTTGTGTTGGTGGGTGGTGGTGGTGCTGATGAACACCACAAGTACATCAGTTGGTGGATAGTGGAGGAAAAAAGAACTGGGGTGATCATTGGTGATATAATTTTCCAAGAGGGAAAAGAAGAAGGAGAAAAAGCAGAGAACAATGAACAGCAAAAGTTTAACCAAATCAACTTTCCAGTCGACTGACGATCCAAAAAATCAAGGCAGAACTCGGAGCACTTTGTAGGCAGGTAATCCCTCAACCGGCATAAAGGCCCTTCCAGCCTCTAGTCTTAACAATCCGAAGGCCTACATCTAAGAAGCCGTTCTTTGGAGCTTCATGAGCAGGAAGAGATTGTGGAAGATGAGAAGTTTGGGTGAGTTCAGAGGCAGTCTGCATGGTGCTTTTGATCGAATCGGCGGGGAAGAAGACAAAGTTGTAAAAGATCCCGGCGGTGGCACCTGAGTACATCAGTTCAGGCGAGGAGAGGTCCTCCTTGGAGAGTAGTTTGGAGGGCCCGAGTTATTCTTGACGATGGGCAACGAAGAGAGCTACCACGGATTCGAAGGTACAGAACCAGATTGCCGATCCGCCGGTCTCTCTGAGTAGAGTCCCAATCTGTCCCAACCGGAGCTGGCTCCAGGAGCGGAATGAGCTGGGACCCAGATGTGGATGAACTGGCTCAGAGAGCTGAAGGAGGTGGCTCCAGGAGCTGAATGAGCTGAATGAGCTGGATTCAAGATCTGAATGAGCTGGCTTGCAGAGCTCAATGAGCTGGATCCAGGAGCTGAATGAGCTGGCTCCAAGAGCTGAATGAGCTGGATTCAAGATCTGAATGAGCTGGCTTGCAGAGCTCAACGCGCTGGATCCAGGAGCTGAATGAGCTGGCTCCAAGAGCTGAATCAGCTGGCTCAGCCTCCAGGACCTGAATGAGATGGCTGAGCTGGATCAAAGAGCTGGATGAGCTGGATCCAAGAGCTGGATGAGCTGGATCCAAGAGCTGGATGAGCTGGATCCAAGAGCTGGATGAGCTGGATCCAAGAGCTGGATGAGCTGGCTTTCAGAGCTGAATGAGCTGGGACCAAGAGTTGAATGAGCTGGGACCAAGAGCTGAATGAGCTGGGACCAAGAGCTGAATGAGCTGGCTGAGCTGGTTCGGGGAGCTGGATGTGCTGACTGAGATGAATGAGCTGGCTCAGAGAGCTGAATGAGCTGGATCGGGGAGCTGGATGAGCTGGATGAGCTGGCTTGGGGAGCTGGATGAGCTGACTGAGCTGGCTGGGGATCTGGATGTGCTGGATGAGCTGGATGAGCTGGATGAGCTGGATGAGCTGGATGAGCTGGATGAGCTGGCTAGGGGAGCTGGATGAGCTGGCTCGTGGAGATGGATGAGCTGGCTAGGGGAGCTGGATGAGCTGGCTCAGGGAGCTGGATGAGCTGGCTTCTAGTGCTGGCTGGGCTGGCTCCATGAGCTGGATGGGCTGGCTGAGCTGATAAATTTGGGCGAGCTCAACTCAGGCTTTTTCCATCCCAAGTGGAAGATGTGAACATAGGTTTCCTCCATTTGGGATGGAAGAATTTTGCAGCCACAGGTGCACCAATTGGCTCAATCAGCCCTCTTGAATATCAAGTATATACTCGAGCATTTGCCTCCCCTGATTTCGGCACACAACACAATCCCTAAAGAAGAGTTTCAGTGGATTTGGAAGGACATAGATGTGACATCAAGGGCTTGTGAATCATATACGTTGATTTCATGTGGCTGGGGATTGTGGGAATTCATGCCTAATGGGTTTCTGTTACTTGGTTCATCAGAGGATATACTCAAGACTGTGGGGAATTTGTCTCTCATCACGTCCGACATGGTTGATATGGAACAAATCAGAACTTTCCAACTGATGGAAAGGGTAACCGGCAACCACACTCTACTACCGCACTTGGCCAGTTTTTTTGCCCCCGGGAAACAAGCGTTTATTCGACTGCGAGCGGCATTACAACAGGCTTGGGCTCACAGAGAAATGATCCCCTATTTCTCTGAGCCAGGTAAGCCTTTTCCTTTCTCATTTTTCCTTTCATCATTTTCTTCTCATATCTAGGATTTGTATATAGAGCTCCACAGAGAGAACTGATCCCCTATTTCTCTGAGTCAGGAAATACATCTACCCTGTTTGGTCTTAGAATTCTGCTTAGGTTTTCCAGCTGTTTCCCGTGCCTTTCCTCTCATCCAGTGAAGGACTTTCTCAGTCCTTACACTGACACACCTCCAAACATTCTCCATGTGTTTTTCCCCTCTTGGCCCCCAAACCATTCAGATCACAAGAATCACCATCATCACCCCGATTCTCACCCAACTTCCCCTAACACATCTTATCTAACTTTCTTCTTCTTGTGACAACCTTGTACCGCAGCAACTCACCTCTTGTCACTCTTATTTTTGTCTCATACTCTTTCTTCTCTCTTGTTGTCTGGTACAATATTGTTCTTGTTCCATACTTTTCAAATTCCCTGTCACTCTACCACTGCCTGTTACTTCATACCCTGCCCTTGAAGGTATGAGTTTTTCCTGTTTGTTCTGCTACCTCATGAGATCTTATACCATGAGACTGACTTGATTCAAATTAACCCTTGAAGTTTCCACATTCTTAAAATTTCATCCTTATGTTTTCCTATTTCTGATATTACTTGTAAGCCTCTCCTTGTCCCCTTGGGAAACAGCCCCCTCCCTCTGTTCCAGAGGGTTAGTTAAGCTAGTGCAAGCCAATACCATCACACAAAACAAAGCGGTAAAACCAAAACAATTAGGAGTGGCAATATCAAGTATACATTCCAGAAATCTTTTATTACAGCTAGCTTTCGGTTTCCCGTATATCCGGGGAAACATAACATATAAAATCAGTTTACACTTCAAAAAAATCCGGTTTGGTATGTTTGACGACCGACACAAAAATAGTATTGGGACAAGAGGATTCCTTGGCAATTCTAGTGTGGTGGCTACCAGGAAGCTGGGAAAAACTCGAGCGTGGCTTGAAGGTTATCTGATGCTGCTTATCGCTGACACACTCCGGTGAGCTTGCGGGTAGGAATTGGCTTTAGTGAATAAGACGACTTCATTACAGAAACAGAAGAAATTTAAAGCAACCCACTGGTTCGATACATCTGTTCTTGTCTTCAAAAGCGACCTGGAAGCATTTGATCGCCCGCACAGCCAGTCTGATGAAGATTGTAGTACATTGTCCAAACGGAGAGAGCGCGCAATTTTCACATAAACAGCGATTGATTCGTTGGCAAAAGAGAAGAAAAAGAATACTGTTAGACCAGCAGTCACGGAAAGCCAATCTCGAATGTTGAGTTGGTAAGAAGCGTTCTTTCGAACGTCGGAGAACTGAGATCATCATAGTCAGGGGGTCATTTTCAGTGAGCTGGAAAAATTATTTTTGGTTGGAATCAGTTATCTAACCTTGTTATCGACATCATGGATATACCCCCATGATTTCCAAGGAACGAAAGGACCAATATCTTTCAAAATTGTAACGGTACCAGCGATTGTATAGGGGGCCGATATACATAGATACGTGGCCGCCAACGCGCACATACGCATGAAACGTGATTTATTCAAAGGCGTCCTGGACCTTGCTATTAAGTGGGATAGCTCGCGATGCTGACGGATTAACCAGTAGAGAACATAGACTACAGCAGGGGAAGAAATCAGCGCTCATAAATAATAACTTTGGTACAAGAACTGACATACGTGAATATCCACAAGCGATGCCACACATGATAGGAGACCAAATTATAAAAATGAATATTGTGGGCCAGGCTAAAACAGATACATTGGAGCAGCCAACTAGCGCTTCAACTTCATAACGGGAAACCTGGAAGACCACAGATAAAACAGCTACAAAAGCAGGTATTCCAAAAGACAACGCATAATCGGTGCAAATCCTGATTCGGGTAGTTGAGTTTTCTTCCACCAGAGGATTGGGTGTGACTATTCTGGCCAGGTAGCGTATGATGCAACAATTCGCAATGAGTAACCCTAGCGGCCCAACCATCGTAAGCTGATGATTCACATATTAGTATCTGATTTGTTCTAGTTTTCTTTGGCATGAAGGAGAGGCGACGGTTTAGAAGATTGCCAACTTGCCTTGGCAGAAACGTCACAAAATATCGGAGCCTTGTCCTGTGCATCGTCCATCCACAAAATTCCGTTCACCTGTTGCATCTCTGATGTAAGCGTGTATGATACTTACGAATGATGATGTAGGTGAGTCAGAACCTACGAAGCCCAGCAAATTCAAAATAACCACCCAAATTCCAAATGAGGCAGGACCAGAGTGACCCTGAATCAGATGGGAGGCCGCTGGAGCGATGTTGATTAGAGCACACACTAGAGATAACGCCAAATAGGCTATGAAATCCGGGGTCATGGTGTAGCGGTGGAAACTAGAGTAGCAATAATGGATGAAAAAAGTGATGAGAAATGGAGGGGTTCGACGGGGTAGAGCGTAACCAGACTTTAACTTGAAGGTTGGAATAGACTATCAGCTCGAGCCCTATGTACTTGTGACAAAGGAACCCCGCCTCTGCATGTGCGAAGTTAGCCAACACCTTCAAAAATGCTGGAAAAGGAATTCGCCATAAAATCAAACATGCATCTATGTATCTGGTACATGCACACATCCATGGGTGAACCCATGTTAAGAAAGGAGCGCAAGGTGCATGTGCAAAGGAGTGTGACCTGCAGCGCACTGATCCACTTGGATTTTCACAACGGAACATTTAACCACATAGTCCATACAGCACTTAAGTTCCTTTGGTGTATGTAAGAGGGTTGTTGCCAAGTGTATATGTATTCAAGTAGCAAGACCAACACCTTTTTATTTCTGCATGTCTCGAGAAGCATAAATTTTAATGAATACGTACATAAAGAGGTGGCTATCATCACATCCAAATAACCATCAATACCCTTGGAAAATCGCGATTCAGATCTTCGGGAACTGGAAACTGCAAACATGAGGCGGGCGGGACCGCGGGTGCAGCCTGTTATGTTGTGCATGCATAGTATTTATGAGGCGTCAGCGCTATTTCACTCAGTTTGCGTGGTAGACTATATAACAAAGACACATGTGCATGCTACCTTCAGGAAAACTGCAAAGAAACGACCTGGCATTTACCCTCTAGTTCGCAAAGCGCTACATTGAGGTGATCACTAAATACATAGCACCCCGAAAAGATACAACACTATCCATCTTCCAGTTGGCATTAAAGAAGACCTTCTTTGGAATGCCGCCTGAATCGACGATATCTTCGTGAAAATGCAGCAGTGTCCAGTGGGGGCATCAGGTGAATATCGGAGGCAGTAATCATTACTGTATAATCTGTTAGGTACTCATCGCGTTATATCTCAGGCTACATTCCCGGAAGGCTGTTTCACTTCATTGACCATTGATTTTCTCTTGTTGTTACCGTTCAAAGGGTGAAACTGAAATCTAACGGCGAAACGAGCTGAATTTCGGTCGCATTTCGAATTAACATGTAGCCGACGTCAACTGCTTAAGAAGAAGCCTCCTGGTGAACAATTTTGCCGAACAGCAATAATGTTGTGTCGGAGTCAGCACCTTACCCCTGGTTGATTGATCTCTTTCAATCCTTCGCTGCGGAAAATGTCCTTACACTTCATTGTTACTCATAAATATATTCTTCAAATATGACCTTCCCCTTAAACTCGCACACTTTGTTGTTTTACAAACCCGCACGAATCGGAATAAGTCATTCCGTCCGCTAGGCATACCAGCCCAACCCTTAGACTAGCGCTGGATCCCGCGGGGTACCCGGCACCTCTGAGGCGGCCCGGCGCCCCGACCCGAGGGAATACCCTTGAGCCGGGAAGGTGAAATGAGGCGCCCTTGCCCTTCCCTCGAGGAGTATCGGGAACGGGTCACATTTTTCCTTCGGGGCTGTTTTGGACACGGGTATACCCTCCAAACCAAGGGTATACCCGCCCCGTATGTACTTGCAGGGAGGTGGGAGGAAGGACTCCAACTGGACCCCAAGTCAGACTCACCAAGATGTTGATCAACAACAACAATTGACCCTGCAAGGATTATTTTTTGTCTTTACCCTTTATTATTTCTTTTTAATTTTACCATTGTCAACAAGTCCTGTCCTCCTCCAAGATACCTGGGGTAACCGCGATCCGTGAGCCAGCCCGGTGACCGTTCCCTAGGATACCCGTTGGTGCTTGGGTGCCTGGAAAGCTGTCTCGGATCCCAATACTGGCGGTGCACCCTTTGGGTATCCCCGGGTATGTGAATGCTCAAACTTAAGGATGTATTTCTGATGAGTACAACACTAAAGGAAGAAATACAATATGAGAGAAAAAGAATTCTAACCTTGAAGCAAACAATGAAGCAAGGCAGAAGACAAGATAATGTCTTTCCCATAAAGGTTGGACACTTTTCCATTTTTTCCGGTTTGAGGGATCCCATAATCCTTATTTATCCCTAAGCTGCGCCGAGGTAATTCCACATGCCCCTCCCTGCTGCGACATCAACATTCCACATGGCCTGTCACTAATCACCATGTCGTCCTCTAAAATTTCTGCGCATCTCAACTTTTGAAATTCCTCCCCAAGCCTATAGAAGCCTGAAGGAACGACAGCAGAAGACTGGAAAACAGGCAGTGGCATGTGCCTGGATACCAGTGAGTGCTTTGTTTTTGGCTCATTCAGATTTTTTGATTCTCTCCAATTTGCTGATTCTTATCATCAATTTCCCAATTCTTATCAACCAATCCAACAAATCGCTTCACACTCCTCTGCAGAACCATGACCTACGGCTACGGCTACGGCTACGGGTTCACTCTAGCTTATCACAATCCCCTCGTTTCAGGGGCCGGGGGACCGGCGCGCCGGGGGCGCCTCGCGAAGCGAGCCTCTGAAAGAGGGGCTTGGGAGGTAGGCTGTCCAGCCCGGCTGTGTGGTTCCAGATTTCAAGGGATTTTGATCAGGATTCTCACCAAATCCCTCATATCGTCTCTGGATCACCTCCTCAGGGAGGGCGGCGTGAATTTTTGAGAAGCCTGTCATCATGTCTTCCTCCTGATACAATTTTCACCCCATTGGCTGTTGGCTGATGCCTCTTTCCTAGTGATGAAAGGTCAGCTTGGCTCTTTGTGATGTGAATGGCCGAAATCCATATGATTCTGTACAACATTCTGTATTCCAGGAATTTGGTTAGTATTGAATGAGTGGTTCAATTCTTACAGGCCCAAACATAACCTGTGATATTGCGCTGTAAAGGACAAATATGTTGTTATAAGCATCCTTGTTGGAGTGAAGTAGATTGAAACAGACCAAACAACACAGGCATCCATCACCAAGCACTCGAATCTTTCCGCCGGCAAGAACAAGAGCGACAGCAGCCAGAGATGGTCGTCATTTCGTCTTCAGCAATGCTATCAAGGCCATCACCAAAGAGAATATGGACACCGACCGGTATCAATGTACATAAGAAGGTCTATGATAAGAGCGATGATAAACTGATAGATCACATTAAAAAGACATCCTTGGAGTGTTACGGTCAGCCAGCAAAAGACAAGCAATTCGAGGCAGTCTTCAACCTTGTGCAAGGCCGAAACACATTTCTCTTGGCCGGGACAGGCTTTGGAAAGTCTCGGATCGCTGAGATCTATTACAAGATGATCCCACTGAAGTCTTGCGTGGTCATACTTGTTCTAAATCCGCTCGACTCACTTGGAGACAATCAAGTTCTGGAAAAAAAGCAAGCTGGCTTTACGGCAATCAAACTCACCAAGCTTACGTTCAACCCCGATGTTGCCCAAGAGATAATGGACGGAGTTTACCAGTTTGTCTACTTAAGTCCGGAAATTTTCCTGAACAACAAGCTATTTGAAAAATGCTATTTCAGCACAGAATTCCAGAACTGACTCGCCTTGATCGTCGTAGATGAAGCCCACATGGTGTACATATGGGGCCTGGTTGAGAGTTCAACATCGAAGATGTCAACTTCGGCCCACTTCCGATTTGAGGACTACGGGATCTTCCGCCCTTCTTATGGTAAACTCGGGGCCCAGCTCTTGTTCCGAAATGACAAGCCAATATTGTTGCTCTTGGCAACATGCCGTCCGGTGGCTGTAGATGCAATTAAGAGGAGCTTAAAACTGAACGACAACAGTGTTGACATCATCCAAGCGGAGCTAACTAGGCCAGAAATCCGAATCATCCGGGTGAAAATGGAAAAATCTCTTGCCTCTTCTCTCAATGTGATCAAGCTATTCCCTTCGCATCATCATGTGGCCGATGCCAACATGGTTCCGGCTTTGATTTATAGTGGTTCTCGTAACCAGGCATTGACAGTGATGGAAGTAATTGACAGGGCGCGCGAGACTCCAGGAGGGGCCTCCATTCCGAATAGTGGCTGTGTACGGCGATTCCATTCTTGTACCGGCGATGACGATAAATTAACTTGTGCTGAAGATTTTGCCGCTGGGAAGTTCCCACTGATATCATGCACAATGGCGCTTGGCCTTCGTCAAAACTGGAAACAAGTGTGGATGGTAGCACACATGGGAAGAGGAAATCCGGCTAATGTCTGTCAGATGATTGGCAGATGTGGTAGAGACGGCAAGGCGGGGTTGGCTGTGATGTTTGTGGAGAAAACACGTCGAGGAGGGAAGAACACTGTTGACCGGTTCGTGCGTGGTCAACCCCAGACTGATTTGGACCGAATGGATGCAATGGCTATCACTCCGCTCTGTTTGCGAGTGGCTTTTTCAGTAGACAATCTGTGAGTTTGATGTTCTGAGGCGGAAGAGATGTTGGGTCACTAATATTGTTTTTTTGGACAGGTTTGGATATGTACCACTGATGGCCGATGATTAGTCCTACATCAATGAACGGGCCCGTGAGCAATCGAGTGGGATGCCGAAGTGTAAATGTTCCAATTGTGCCCCTCATGTGGTTAGATTGGTACTGGAAGGACTCTTTGCCGCGAATAACAGCAACTTTGACGACATATTAGACGATTTGTTTGCACCCTCGATGCCATACAACTTGAAGCATAAATACCCCACAAAGTCGTCTTTGGTGAAGAAGCGTAAATTCACCAAAGATGATGATGACGAGGTCGATCACTTTGCGTCTCATCTCTTAAACAATCTTTATCTCTTCTACGATACGGAGGTCTCACCGGGTGGAACTATACAGGTGTCAGACTTGTTTGGGAAAGACGAGTGCGTTTCAGTCTTGGCAAGCTTAGAACACATATCTCAGGTTCAAGATCTTTGATTGGTCATTGGGGGGGGATTTTTTGTAGGGGAGGTCCAGTGGTTGTTTGACTGGATCAGTGATTTCAAGTCCAAGCCTCAGCCGATGAACACATCCACTCGCACTTTGACTCAACCAACCAAGAAGCCCAGGAAATCAGGCAGTGCATCGGCCCAGGCCATTCCTACTACAGCAATGGACGTGGGACAGGCCCCTTCCCCTAGGCCACCTACTAAGAAGGCGCTTGCTCAGGAGGAGAGCAGACGTAAATCACTCGAGAGACAGGCCGCAAAGAAGATGGAGGATGAGAAAAAAGAGCTCCGAAGAAAACAGATTGCTCTCATCATGTCTCAAACGTTGGCCGATCATTCAACTAATCAAGAGGTGGAGTAGGATCAAATATTTCTGTGATTGCAACAATTCTTATCTATTTACATCTCATCACATTATCACATGACCATCTTTACTGGATTACATATCCGAGGACTGTAGTTCATCATCGGCTGAGCTACAACTGTGATCATCTTCTTCATTAGTTGTTTCCGCTTGAGTGGTTAGATTCTTCTTAAACTTTTTCAAGTCTATGTCTGAGGTGCAGATAGTGTTTCACATATTTTTGATTCCCATGATATAAGTGTTGAGAACCTTGGCAATAGGCTTTTTGCCCCCATTGGAGTATTGTGCCAATATGTCCCGGTTGTTGCCCATGATGGAAAACATGACCAGCGATCGGAATGGTAGGTCGTTCCGATGAGTTTGATGGACAGTTCTTGAACCACAGTCGTGCTTGAGCGATTGAAACATGCGTTGTAACTGTGTTGGAGGGTAGGGTATACATCATAAAGATCAGTCCTAGTGTCTAACACTGAGATTCCAGTTACACCACGGGACTATTCTGATGTCCCATGGACACTCTTCTGGACATCATCTGAGGTTTCCAGAACTTGCAGGGCAGAGAGTGTCCATTGGACACTACTCTGCCTGACAGTTTGTGGACGTTTTCTGGAGAACTGTCCACTGGATAGTTTTCAAGCCGTCCACTGGATGCTTTTTTTTTCTGCAATGAAAACAAAAAAATGAGCACACCAATATTTGAACCCATGACCTCATGGAGGGGGGGTTGATAACCGCACGCCAATCCGCACGCCAGGCGCAGATTGGCGTGCGGGCCTGCACGCCAAAGAAGTTTGGCGTGTGGCCTCGCACGCCAATCTGCTGCAGGGGAGGTTGGCCTGCAGGCCTGCACGCCGAACTTTAGGTCCTAAACGCATATTTATACGCGTTTAGGACCTGGGCTGTCCCATAGGACCCATGCCTGGGTCCTATGGGACGGCCCTGCCGTTGGTTTTTTTTCTTTCTTTTTTTCAAACCCCCTCGGCCTAGAGAGGAGAATTTGTGATATGATTAGCTGCCTTGCGATCACTTGCACTAGTTTTATCGCTAGTGTAGTGACGACTGTTGTTTTGGCTTGATAGACGACTCATTTCAGAGTGATCGGAATTGGAAGACAAGTTTGTGTTGGACAATAGTAAGGTCGTTGTTGAGCCTGATTTAACTACGGTCTCAGCCACGATGCCTTCCAGTAAATCTCGTAAAAGTCTTTCAGCCCACCATCCAGATCCGCCATCAGATGTATCCTGGCTGCCGCCAGGCTCGTAATCGGAAAAGCACTCCAGTGCGCTTGATGATTTCGTTTGGCTAGAACCACTGCCCCGATTCTCTGAGTCTCCCGTGTCAGGCTCCGAGACATAGATGATTGAATAGCCTACCGCAGACAGCCCTCCTGAGACCACCAAGGCCATCGCTCGAGATCGGTATCTGTCCGATAGATACGACATTAGTAGGACCGTCACCACGCCAAGCGTGTAGGGAGGAACTGCGGTTGTTGGTTGGTTCATCGTCAATCGTAAAATCGGTTCTCGTCAAAAACCACGTCTTGTTTCAAGATTTTTTTTTTCAAGTTGGAATCATACTAACTTACTCGATAACGTCTGCGCGACCGATGGCCCATGTCCAAGCTGGAAAACAACAGATAATCAGGACTCTTGGTAGGGGAAAACCTACACGCAAAAAACTGCTGAAAACCTACAGAATTCAATACTAAGAACGCGAACAAGACGGATTGTCAGGAACATATAATGGGAAGGCTGCTCATCGGCATTGAGATGAGGAGTTACTCACTGCTTGATTGGAAATACATGATACTGGCGACATTAGTTCCAGCAGAGAAGAACGCCAGACAACACAGGGCAACGTGGGGAGCCAGCTCGTCGGAAGGAACCCCTTCCGACAAGCTGGATCATGTACCAGCTTGTTGGGAGGGGTTCCTCCCGGCGAGCTGGTTTTTATACCAGCTCGTCGGAAGGAACCCCTTCCGACGAGCTGGATCATGTACCAGCTCGTCGGAAGGAACCCTTTCCGACGAGCTGGCATGTACACAGGCTCGCCGGGAGGGGTTCCTCCCGGTGGTGTGACCTCGGCCTCTCTAGGCCAAGGGGGTTTGAAAAAAAGAAAAAAAAACTCAACGGCGGGGCCGTCCCATAGGACCCAGGCATGGGTCCTATGGGACAGCCCAGGTCCTAAACGCATATAAATATGCGTTTAGGACCTAAAGTTGGGCGTGCAGGCCTGCACGCCAACTGCAGGCCAACCTCCCCTGCAGCAGATTGGCGTGCGAGGCCGCACGCCAAACTTCTTTGGCGTGCAGGCCCGCACGCCAATCTGCGCCTGGCGTGCAGGCCCGCACGCCAATCTGCGCCTGGCGTGCAGGCCCGCACGCCAATCTGCGCCTGGCGTGCGGATTGGCGTGCGGTTATCAACCCCCCTCATGGAGGTGCCACTGCACATCCCCAAAGCCTGTCCTTACTGACTACACTACACAGAATTATTCTTGCAAGCAGACCCAAACTGTTGTTGATAGACCGAATTCGCACTTTGGAGTAAGCCACTTCACAGCCTTTTTCATGATCAAGTGCATTTTTAGAGATTTTTTTGACAATCACATCACTTGCACTTTTGGAGTGTTTTTCGACGATCAACCGCACTTTGGGAGTGTTTTTGAACGATCGACCGCTTTTTTGGAGCTTTTTTCTACCATTGACTGAACTTTTGGATCTTTTTTCGACCATCGACCACCAGCTCCAATTGGAAATGTTAAATCAAAGTGTCCAATGGACACACTAAAAACCACCACCCATTGGACCCTCTTGGTTGGAGAGTGTCCGATGGACGATAAATCCTAGCGTCCATTGGACGCTTCATATTTGGCCAGAGTCACTTGGATGCTTTTGGAAGCATCCAAGTGATGCTGGCTTGCCAGAGCGTCCCTAGGACGCTCTGATCGCATCCGTTGGACGTTCTCTTCAGGAAAGCGTCCAGCGGATGGGGCCAGTTTCAAAAAACTGGCCCCGTGGTGTAACTGACCAGGAAAATATTTGGGGAGAATACGTCTTGCAAGCAATCAATCTGTGTCCCTGTCCCACTGTGATTATATAGAAACTTGATCCAATAGTTTTGGATCTCCAGCCAGAAGTCCTTGGCCACAAAGTGGCCGGGTCGTCCGCTGGGGGAGATGAGGAGGACATGGCGGAGGTACTTGCTCAGCGATGGCGGGAGAAATACCATGAGTAACAGGACCATCCGTGGGAGATAAGATGAATAGTTAGTCAACCCGGTTAAGGCCTGGGACATAAGCGACCATTTCTTCCATATTAAGATGAGTCGGCCGGCATCACCAGACTTCATCGATTGCTTGGCTTCAACCACAGTTGAAAAGTCATGCAACTGAATCAGATTGTTACTCAATTTGGGACTTTCCATTGCCGCCGCCAATGATCTCGCTTGCGGACTACAGAAGTGATCATAGCATTCTTCAATAATTGAGTTCCATTGATCAGTTGGGATGTTCTTTATCTCTGGAGCCGGCTTCTTGCAGTTTTCTTGCATGATGACCCTATCTGATTACACATAATTGAGCGACCGATGGAGGATGGTGTTGGTCAAGTAGGAAAAAGCACATACCTTAAACAATAATAGATATTAGCCTCAAACACACGCTCCATCTGATTGATCATCAAAGTGAAGTCTTTTTTTTGAATGGCTTTCTCCGATGGGAAACCCAAGGCCTCAAGATGCTGCCACGCGCCGCAATTAGTGGAATTGCTGGTGTCACCAAAATGATGAGAGAAAATCGTTGAACCAACATTCCAGAGGGTGTGAGATGCCCCCAGCTGGAAGAAGATGTTATCAAGGGCATTGTGCGGCCCCTTGCTGGGCCCTTGCTGCGATTGAAGAAAATTGAAGTTCTGAACCGTCGCCAGGTCACCATCCATGGGCTGGAGCCGAGTGAAGAACTCTTCCACATCAAGTCCGGATTGGTTGATGAGTGACTGGAACACTTGACCAACTCCTTCAGCCAAGTTGTCAGAAGCCTCCATGAGCTTCATCATGAGGAGATCGGGTGCCCCATGGGCTATTTGCTCAATCACAGGTGGGTCAGTTGAGACCGCTGAAGCCTTGTCGGCGGGCATGGCAATGTACTTCTGTAGAACACAAGCGATTTGACTTTTCCATACCTGAATCTCGTGCTGCTCCTCGTCGGGTGTCGGCAGGAACATGTGAGGCTCGATTATGATGGAATCCACCTTGTTCAATGCCAATTTAAAAGCCGCGAGGTCGAGTTCAGCGGTGTCTAGAGTCTCTAACAGCTTTTGATTGGGGAGATGTATATATCCCCAAGTACCTCGCAACGTCTTCATTTGAGTGCCGATGGATTGTTGATGAACACGCTGCTCAATGTCAATGTTGTCAATACACATTTTAGGGGCAATGAGTCCATCTTGGATTGTCATTGCACGTCTGAAGTCCCTAGCGCTCTCCCTGGCTAAAGACTTCAAGGCAGAAATAGCAGTCTTGAGAGAAGATGAAAGCCCAAGGTAGTTGAGATACTCGTGGACCCGATCCGAGACACCGCAGGCATAAAAACGGACCGCATTGTTGAGCTGAAAAGCATTGTGTCGTCGGTTTTGACCAAATGCGACCATCGCACAAATGGTCGTAGCAATCTGGATTTTGGGGAGTCAATCAGCCTTTAGAGGCCCATTCAAGAAAACTAGGATGGACATACCCTGTGTGTTCGGTGATTAAAGCGGGCCTCGGCACTTTGCTGTAACTCATATGAGACCCCGGCAATGTTATCAAGCTGGAAATTTGCATCAATTCCTCCATGATCATCCCCAACAACAGGCGTTTATTCTTCTTCATCAGGATTTATTTGTCCCTGGCGGTTTAGCTTCTGCAAAACCAGCTGATATAGAAAAGGCATATCTTGTTTGGTCAGATTACTCTCAGGTCATGACATTTCATCTGCCGTGAAAAACCGCTTGCCAACGGCGGTTGAACTATGAAATCGCCCTGTTGGGTAATTCCCTCTTGGTGGAGCCTGTGTTAGGCCGATCCGCACGGCCTGACCCAGTATTGAATTGAAAGCCAAGAAAGGCACGATGAAAAAGTAATCAACAAAACAAACTGATAACCTTGCAAATTCATGCAAGCGTGACAATTCACAACGGCAATAGACATTACCTCTTCTTGAATGAATGAGTCCCATGCCTCGCGGCCAGTTCTTGATTTCGCAAGCTCTAGGTGGATTGATCTAACCAGATCCATGGTCGACTCGACACCTTTTGGTTGCCGCCAGAAGCGCCGCAGGTAGGCAATATCGGAATTCGGCGATTGGACAAAGTGGAGCATGAATTCCTTTGGGGTCATGACCGTAGGCAGGCTGCGCAAGGTCTTGCAAATATTGATAACCTTTTGTTCAAGAATCAACAGATAGTTTATCCATAATTAGGCTGTAGGCAGATAGCTCAAGTCAAGGCTGTAATTTGATGGGTTATCTAGGTTATAAATGCTTGAAGTAAAGGCTACTGAGAGCGGGCAACCATTGTTTGGGCCCCACTCTTTATACTTGCAGCTCCAGCCTGTCTTCACGTGGCATTAACCCACAGGCAAGCAGGCCATTGCCCACCGCAAGGGATCGAGGTTCTGACTGATGTTACGAGTGTTATCAGAGGTGATGTTTCAGTTATATAATAGTCAGTTGTACAGCTGTGCCAATAGGCTCATGCGTCACTACAGTTATAGTGGGACATGTATCATGAAATACATGAAGTATGTGTTATCAAAACAAGTAAGTCGAAACCAAAATTCTGCCAAACCTGCTTCTTTGAACCATCATTGCATCAAGCATGTTGCAGGTCAGGGGGCAGGTTTCACCCTAAGCGGGGCCGGAAACAGGCGGTCATCATGGTGTAAAGGGCGGCAAATGTTTTTGAGTGGAAGAATGCGGGAAAAGGTTGGCAAGTTTTCCCCACCAAAAAAAAGGAACCACTCGCACAAAGTCTCAGACATTCCTCCCAAGCCCCTCCTTCGGAGGCTCGCTTCGCAAAGGGCGCTTTGCGCCAGCCAGCCCAAACTAGCCTGACAAAGTTGGGGATTTTGTTAAGCTAGGGGTTCACTGGACTGGACTTTGCCTTCCAAGGCAATATGCGTCAATTTCACATGTCTCCCGGAATCAATCCTTCACCTGATCATGTTCTGCTGTCTCCTGGGAACGACTGCTTTTGAGACTACTCGTTTCAAGACTATCCGTCATCTGAACAATTTCCGGCAAATTTGAATTCGGTCTCTCCAAACATTTTGCCGGATGACCGATCAACCCAGCAATCTACACCTGCCCCGACTCAGACAATGGCTAAGATCTTTGAATGCGCAATCTTGTTTACACTAATTTGTCCTTCAAAGAACAAGCGCGGACAGACATCCTGGGTGGCAATCCGACAACCCAAAGGGTTGAAGGTAAAATTCAATACAAGAGATGTTGACGACTGGGACGCTTTCCGTCATCTCATTGCTGAGAAATGCGCCATAGCCTATGAGGCGATGTATCAGCTTCTGGAAGATTCACCTTGATCAATAACTTGGTCGGCTTACATCCTCTGTAATTCAGCTTGGGTGAAAGGCGAACCTCACGAGATAATGGACAAGGATTCCTTCACTGACTGGATCACTGCAATCACCAAGTGCAAGAGTCGAGCTCCAAAGGGTGGTGTGATCATTGAGATGGAAAATCCGTCAAGCAAGTCTGACCACGCTCACAAATCCAACCTTTTATCAAGAACGGTACGTCGGAATAAGGCCCAAAGACCCAAAGGACCAGCAAATAGCAGAGCACCAGCAAACAGCAGGTTGGAATCTGAAGAACCTTCCTCTGACGATGTGGGTTGTTTCTTACTAATTTGACTGTGTTGACTCTTTGGGCAAACTGATGTGTAAACTGATGTGTTTGAACAGGTTTTGCAATGCAGTAGCAATGAAGACGGGCTTGAATTGCACATGGATACGATATATGAAAAATAGGCAAAAAATGTTGAATACAATTCCACCCATCCAGTATACCTTCATCCTACCAATACAGACCGTTATATTGTTCTGACATTGGGTCAGGTTAAGGATTGGGCACATGCTCTCGTAGGTTGCATTTTTTGCAAATGGTTATTTCATTTCTATGTTACTACAATAAGCTGAGTTGAAGTCAAAACTGTCAGCCTTAGAGCCAGCCAAGCTGGCCAAAAGACTGCTTAAGTCCTCCTTTTCAGCTATGTTCCTACTGTAACCTTTTTATCTCATGATTTTATTACATTCTGAGTTCAGAAATGAATTCCTCATGAAATTTCAACCCTAGTCACCCCTACACACTTTTACACTACTCTTCTCCTTCATAGACTTTGTAATATTTCACCGTACCTTGTGAAATATCAACCAAGTTAGAATTCCAACTCTCTACCACATGTACATGTTGTGATTATGTAATCCAACTCTGAAAATTCTCTCAGTAGACACTGAGTTTGCATCTTCAGGATCTTCAAGCTTCAGACCCACCCAGAACCAACTCAGACCAGAAATCACCAACCTCAACTTGGATACATCACCGCCGCATCATCGCCGTGTTATCGTTTGGAGTCCCTTAACTATTGCAATCTTCCCACTCATCGTGTCAGGATCACCAATAAGTAAGTCACTCCACAAGTTCAGCTTGCATCTTTCTGCTAAGTTCTTTCTCTGTCTCTCTGAATGATTGCTTCATTCTGTTTCTACTAAACCTCTGCCTTAAACTTCATCACATCCAAATCAAGTCATCATAAGTCATCATTATTATCTGTTTGGTGGTACAACTGAAAACCACATAGGTTTCCCTTTAAAGAGCCTTGATCTTTGATCTAAAAAATTGAGGTTGGATTGATATATCAATACCAAGTTCCCTATTCAGTTTCAGTTGATAGGAGGCGTAGATTAATTCCGCTTAAATAACAGCCATCCTTCTAAGGAAAGTAAGACTGTATAAAAACTTGATCATAAAATAAATAAACAATAAGAATATTATTCATTTCATTCTCTTCCTTCTCTCTCTCCCTTTCTCTTATTCTAGTTGTATTTCTTTATCCATCTGAAATACATCTAGAATTGCCCCCATACCTTGTGTCCTGTTGTCACTTTTGAGACCCAGGCTCACAAAAACTATACAGCGGGATCGTGTGGATGGTGTCAGCTTGGATTCTCCCCCCAGTACTCTAAAGTGGGAGCAGCGGTGGGCCGCTACGCTACGCTACGCTTTTGGCCCAAAAAGCGTAGCGTAGCGGCGCTTTTTTTTCATCCAAAAGCGGTAGTGTTAGCGTTTTTGTAGCGGTTTTTCGCTACGCTACGCTGCGCTACAGCGCTTTTAGCGGAAAAAGCGGCCAAAAACCGCTAAAAAGCGCTGTAGCGCAGCGTAGTGGGCCCTTTTTTGCGGCCCACACGCGTAGCGTTAGCGGTGTCGTGGCGGAATCCTGCTACGCTACGCTAAAGTTGCGTGGAATTCCGCTACGTTACGCTGCGCTAACCGCTACGGTTAGCGTAGCTGGCCCAGCGTTGGTGGGAGAGTCTGAAGGCCACCAAGCGGTTGCGTGAAGGTAACCATCCAACATCGCAGGATGACCTCAATCGATCTCAACAACAAACGATTGCAGCTCTGTCCTCCGCCCTTGCCGCAAACGTTTCCGGTCAATCTCACATCCCACAAGGTGGCTCACCTGCTTTTTCGGTTATCAACTACCCTCATGGATCAATTGATGATTACCTCAACTTTGTTGGTGTGGTACGCAACAAAGAGGAAGTGCTTCAAACTTTATGAGCCCATGATATAGATCAATACCACCTGTTCCATCCGTCTACCTTGTCTGCCGAGAAGATTGAACACATTGGCCTGAGTATAGGAACCGTGGCAAAGTTACAATCTAATGTATCTCGATACATGAAACATCTATTGCTACAAGATTAGTTCAAATGATGTCTTTTTTTAACTCATGAAATCTGTCTTTCTCAATCACATCTGATCAAAAAAGCTAAAACCCAAAGAAAAAAAAGTTAAAAATTGATTAAATAGTTAAAAATTGGTCTTTTCTTCTTGGTTATCTTGTGTGATGCTGTGGATCAATATCTTTATCCTTTGATTTCCTTCATTGATCTCACTTAATATATGCACATGTGCACCTTTCAATTTGCCTGATTCCACCAGATTACTTGGTTTGATGTCATTAAACATCAACAACAGCAAGGTATATATATCATCGAGGACATTGAGGTATATAGAGTAAGTAATTAAGATCTAATTAACCCAAGTGGGTTAAACTTTTCAGATCAATTGCTGCCTGATCATTATGATTGGCGGGGATGGGGAGGATCTTGAGAGCGAGCAAGATCAGGCAATACGAAAGGCCTGCCTCAATCAGATATGGCACCAGGTAAGACCTCTCCCTCCGACAAATATATAATGCCCCCCATGTTGGACATGGGTGTTGATGCCCCAGCTCTCAAGTGGTATTCATTTTGTCAAGGTCAAGGTAGGGCATTCTATGATAATTGAGTATTTTATATTTATTTGCTCTCACCTGATCTGATGACCTCTATCCTTTTGTCGTAAAATGGTAGCGTTGCACATCTATCATGACTGGACAACTCCCAAGGCATGTCCTTTGCAAGGAGACACAGCTTGCCTCCGAACCCGTGGACAGACCATTGAGATCGGATCCTATAGCGATGGAGTACCAGGTAATAATCCCAAACTGGTCGCCTCAGAAGAATCCCAGTGCTTCACCTGCCCCAGAAACATGGGCATGGTCTAAATTGTCCTTGTATGTCGCAGTGACCTGGATGGTGTGGTATACCTCAAGGGTAGCCATCTGGCCCATTTAAAAATTTTATACTTTTCTTTCTTTTATTACACAATTACACCTTTTTTATCTTATATATACTCACAAATCACCCAATATGGCTCAAGAACTGGATTCTACGGTCAATTTCACCCTTGGTCACCACTGGAGGCGTCACTGGAACTCAACTGGATTGGAAGCTACACCCTCTGGACCATCACTACACTCAATTACACAACTCAACACCATGTCAACACTCAATAACACCAACAAGTTACATAATTCACACTACACACATGCACGTTGCAGTACAACTACATAATCACACCATTATAGTACAGGTATACACACAACTACACTATCTTCTGACACTTGACACATGCAGCTTCTAGGCTGGTCCTGTTGCTATGTCACTTGTTAATCTTCCTTGCAGCTGTCACACTATCTCACACCACTCATGTAATATTCATCACCTCACCTTAGCTTGCAGACTAGTACATCACCTCATGTACAATGCTTCAACAGCATAAACCCCTCATGTAGACTTCTAGTTCAAGCTAAAATAACTCTTATGACATCATGTAGGTTGCTGTAAGGACTCCGTTGAGTCCTTCACTGTCCGTCGGAAATGGCACTAGCAAAGGAGCTCAATAGCTCCTACGGAGAAGTTCTAGTACCAAAGTGGGTTTAATTGCAGTCTAGACAGGAGAGAAAGATCTCTCAGTTAGTATCTACAAGTGGAGGAAATGGAGGAAAGAAAATGAGAAGAGAGGGAAAGAAGATAAGGTACTTACCTAGACAGGAGAGAAAGATCTCTGCTGTCTAGGTAAAGGGGAAGAGTGAGACTAAATACAACCTGGGATAGGCTTATGTAAGCTCATGACAGGTTTGTGTAAGCCTGTGAGGAGCAGGGCTTACAGTCTCCCCTCCTATAAAAGAAAATGAAGAAGGGAGAAAATTTAACAATAATTGGGACAGTAAAAAATGAGAAATAAGAAAACAAATAGAAAGTGGTCTGAAATTGTGGGGAAGAATTTTTTGAGTGGTGGCTGATTTGAGGAGGAAATCTAGGAGAAGTCAAGAGAGAGGAAACACAGGATTATGATTGGGCCAAGGAAAAAAAAGGGAGGGGGAGGTGAGTTTTTAATGTAGGGAGTAGAGGGGAAAGAAAAGAAAAGAATAGATGATGAATTAACTCAAAAGGAAGGTGAAGATATCAAACATAAAATAAGATTGGATTGTCGGGAGTTGAAGTTGGGTTGGCCTTTTTCTTTTTCTTTTTCTTCTTTTTTGTTTCAGTCTCATCCGCATTGGCCTGCTGGAGGTACTCTTGGATGTCATTGTAGTAATCTAGAGTGGCTTGTGAATATTCTGGGGCTATTTGGGCTGTTATAGAATCATTGTAATCATTCTCAACAGTTAGGGATCCTATTGCAGCTATTCAAGGTGACAGGACAGGCTGGGGCAGTTGAATAGATTGGGATTGAGCAGTCAGGCAGGGCAGGTAAAAGAAGGGTGGGGAGCGGAAGGAGAATCAGGATGATTGGGTTGAGTAAGAGGCACTGTAGGTGGCTTTGTGTTGTCAACAGTAGAGACCGATGGGGAAGGCGGCTTTGATGTTGACATTGAGGTCGCACAGTTCCCACATTCTGGGGGTGAGAAACGATCTAAGGGGTGCAGAGGATGATGATTGGTGGTGTCACTGATGGGGTGGGTGGGGTTTGGCTGAGTAGAAGGAGGTGGAGAGAGCTTGGCATTGGTAATTGTGGTGCTGATTGAATGAGGGGAAAGTGAACTTGGAGAAGGAGGAGGTGGAGCGAGCTCGGCATCGGAATTTGAAGGTGTTGTCACAGGTATCAGGGTTGCATTTAAGGATTTTTCAGCGGTCCGATTAGCCGATTGGGCAATGGCTAGCGATCTGTCCAAGACAGATTTAGGGTCTTCAATCGGTCGCGAGGTTGTAGATGATGTCGCCGCAATGGCAGTAAAGGAAAGGCTGGCGGCTGCTGAATCTAACAACGTGTCGTGCGGTTCGACAACGGCCGTAGTATTCACGGCCGTCTTGGTGCTTAGTGGTAGAGCCAGTGGAGGGAGGACAGACAAACGGTCCGGTCGTGAGTCGGCCTCAGTCGTGAACGAGAGTTCCGGACATAGTACGACCAA